TTTTTTGTCCTGGTGATCCTAGTACATACACAATTGATAACTTGATGTTATCCACTATTGGCTTGTAGGAAATTTCTCAACCTTAACACACACAGTATATACATATACTATATATATATTATACACAAATATATATATATATAAAATCATGTCACAAAAAAAGGACGTGCAATGGATGGTAGACTATTTGGCAGCATCCCTAGCTTCCACCTACTAGAGGCCAGGAGCAACCCCTCCTCACCACTGTTATAACCAACAATGTCTCCAGACATTGCCGTGAACAATCTTGTCATACAATTGCCCAGTTTGTTTCTGAGCAAACTGTATTTATTTTGTTTATACATGATTTGGCATAAAGGTATAAGGTACATGACTTTGTCAATAATCAAAATAGGTAGAAAATAGCTTTAGCTCATTTTTATACCTGGTTTTAATTTTAAAGTGGATGGGTTATGCTATTTCTTTGGTAAGGAAACAAATTTCATCAAAGAGAGCTCAGATTTTAAATAGCAGTTTTAAAATGACTTCTTCACACAAGGCCACAAGACAGATTTAGAAACCACTGAAGTGTTGCCATCCAAGTGTCCTAAGAGCCCTCCACAGTAAGTGTGCACAAACTGGCAGGGAAGGCAGGCTGAGGTCATACCCTGTAGCATATGTATGCATGCCTGCAGTCACAAGGACGATCCCAATGACCAGAATGAGAAGAGCCTTGGCCAAAGGTGTCCCAAATGTCCATCTTGTCCCTGGCACAGAATTTGCTTTTTGAATGCCAAGGTCCACAGAGGATGGATTCCTTTAGTTTGGGATCCATCTGCCCCACTTCACTATCTCCAGTTTTTTATTATAAGAACAGATTTACACTGTAGTATTATCTATTTTCATTTCAACATTGGGCTAAACAATCTGGTATGAAAACAAGGTCACCCCAGACTACAAGTAGTAGCAGTTTTCATTTATGGCAAGATAAACAATAAAGCACACATTCTGCACCTTCAGTTTGGAGAGGTTTTAAATACTGAAAGTATTTGAAAATAGTCACATTTGTTACTGGTTTCGGAAAACAAAATTCATGATAAAGAGAACAAATACTAATCTAGATAAGACATACCCTTCCGAGATGA